AGAATTTAACACTTCCACATCCTTTTCTTTTGAAGATAAGAATTCCCTAATTGGTTAATATCTTCGTATATTGTCCAAGCACTTTGCACTTTGTGGTTAAACCAATTGCACCAAAATACAAGGTAGAAAATGATAACGGTGGTTTTCTACACCAGACCTCACTTTTCATATATATAAAGCATAGGTATACTGGTCCCACATTATCACAGAACTTATTTTATTTCTCAGACAAAACTCTCTTTTCTTACATTAAAATTTAGTAATTCTTTTTGAGTATCCACAAAGCATTTCTGGTGATGACTTCTCCGCAACACATGCACCATTATTGCTTGTATGAAGCGACACATGCACCTTTTAGCTACACGTTCAATATGTGGTCAAGGAAAAGGGTGAAAAACAAAAAATGCAGAAAATGAATTCTCCTACAAGTCCATTCATCAGCCATTACCTATTTCTTTTTATTTATATTTATAAAGGTAATTACCCATTTTTTTAACTAAACTTTTCTGGAATATATAAGGCTCCAACTGGCAGAAAATACTAGCTTGTGACTTGATTAAAGCCTATTCTGCTTGTAACAAATTAGTATCTGCTACTATCTAATCACCCACCAAAGGAAAAGAAAGTTCTACTTTCTAATCATTTTATAACATCAATCACTAATGTTTCAGCCACATCTAAACTAACCAATAAAGATTTGAAACCTTAACAAAGTGGCTAAGACATCTATTACATCTTCAACTAACCTCTGTCTAATTTTTTACACTTCCCCTTCTGATAATTACACAAAGAGGGTGTCTGCAAAAAGCAGCTTGAAACCCCTACTAAATCTCAATAATGGAAAAAAAATAATAATGACAAAGAAAGCTTTAAAATCAAGTGCTTATTAGCAATTATGTGCATTGAATTCACCATATATGTAGGCCATTGAGAATCATTTGAGGTTTTATTTTGTACATTGTCAAACTTCATCAAGAGCAGTATGCAACATGAATGAAGTTAATTTCTCCTAAAGAAACTTTAGGGTTGTTAGGAATTAAGACTAAGTACAAAAGTGAAACTAGATCTATGATAAAAAAAAGGTGAAGCTTGTGGAAGAGCTAAGCAAAACCAAGCTGTGTCTAAAACACTAAAGCACGTGTATGCCTCACCTCAATCAACTGCCACCGACAGCGTTTCTAGGACTTGATCACGGGTATAGCAACCATTTTGAACGGTTAAACTAGCATAACCCTCCTTAAGAAAGGCATCTCAAACCACATATGCTACATTCAATAGAGTGGAACACAAGTAGTGACTAGTGTGACCTGTGAGTGTTCAATTTTTTTTCCAATTTTATAGTTGTTCATTCTTTTAAGTTTAAGACTGAGTATCTTTTATCAGAAACATTTGTATCAGAGTTAGATAAGACTAATATAAGTGATAAAACACCCTTTAAAGATATTTAACTCTTTTACACATTCAAAACATAAACTCGGTACTACTGTTAAGGTTGAACAGATCTACTACTATCCACATGTTTGGTGGTTATATTTGTTAATTCTGTTTTGACTTTTGCATAGCCCAAAATCTTCCCCCACAAGTGAAGTTTGTTATTGACAGATCCCAGATGCTTTAATGGGGGCCAAAAGAGACAACTCTGCTCTGTGAATTCTCTGCGTTGTACTCTATTATATACCAGTTAGTACAGAGAAGTTCAACCACTTCGAAGCAAACTATATGCTCAGCTGTATTCTCGTTAAATATTTATTTTGGTCCATCTATTTTTCTTCGGTGGACCCAAAAATTTTCAATTTTCGTCTGAATTTGATAGATTTTTATGCTTGAATTTGCACATAGTACTCCAGCTCATGGACCTCAATATTTAGTACCATTCAATGCAGCGTTACTTTTAACGACTCGTGCTCTCCAATTTTAAGTTTTCACGTGCGTTACCATCATGACGTAAATCCATCATCCATCTACTTCCATTTTCTTTAAAGAAAAAGAGTGATAACATGACAATGGAAGTTCCATTTTATTGGCCTTTTCTCATCAAATTACTCCATTTTCTTACAAGTCTATAGCATATATGACAGAGGCTAAAAAATGTGGGCAGTGCACATCAAGTTGAAGGTGTGGTAGCTGCTGCTACTAGGCACACCGCATACATTATGTGCATGCACATGTTACCTCAATAGAAAATTAGTAGGGGGGGATAAAAAGTCCAATCATATAGTATATTTATTATCTGAAACATCATATTCTAATGCAACCCTTTTGCATATGAAGCTTCTTCTCTTTGTGGATCATCATCCATTACAACAACAAAAGTGATGAATGTGGACAAATACAGCTAACGAGGGTGCTAAGTTGCCGGCAAAAAGAGGCACAAATGAAGTAATTGCAGTGAAGCTGTTTGAGTCATAACATACCACAGCATATATAACTGCTAATAAGACATCCATGTTAATGAACGTGGCCGGCTTGAAAAATGAAAAAATGCCGGCACTTACTTGGGTCTTGACCCTTTAAAGCTAGTCATGCTGGCCAATGTGTGAGGATATTATAGTCACTAAATGGGCACGAACTAAGATCCAATGCACCCTTGTCTTAAAATAACAAGGCACTCACAAGTCACGATGCTAGACAGCTTGTACTACTTGTTTATTCACCTTCTATCACTCAATTAACCATGTCCTCAACTAATTAATTCAACTTTGTTCATCACATACATCTCTCTACTCCTACTTTCTATATATAAATATTTGGATTTGAATATATAATCTTCCTTCTCTCTACTGGAATGATTAGGTCAGGTACTTCGTGCATGAAATATAGATCAAGCATGCATAATGTAGGACGGTACACACACACACACTTCACACATATTAATCAATAATATAAATCGATCTTTTATGGACATGTCTATAATGAGGCAGATTTTTTTTTTCTTTTTTACTCTATAATCAATGTCTATTATGTATTTCAATGTTTTCATATCTTTTTTATCACTAAAATAAATATACATTGATTAATTAATTATTTTTTTAACATGTTCTTCCATCAAGTTAAACCAATAATTTTAAATAAATTTGTTTCTCCTTTACCTTAAAATGAAATGACAACGACCCAAAATTATATGATTTTAATCATTTATGTGTAATGTCAATATTGGAAATTGATCCTCTACCAAATTATTTTTTCTCATACTTTAAGAGATTGTACGTGTATATAATAAAGAAAATTCAAAAACAGGGAAACAACCAGACCCAACATGTTTGCCTTCAACTTAATTACTAGGCCGCATTAACAGTGTCTTACTAATATGAACACCAAAGAAATAAATAAATGGTTAACAAATTTTTATCAATTTAGATCAACTACCCATTTCATGGTATAGGAAGACAGGTGTATCACATTAACCTTGTTCCCAACAAATTAAAGAACAAAATTATACTTTTTAGTTTCTAAAGGTTAATAAAAATTAAAAATTTAATCTCTATAATTTGAGGATTGTTTTGTTTTTTAAAATTATAAGGACCCAATAATTGATTTTAATTTCAAGAGATAAAAAAAAAACTTAGTCTGGTGAAAAAGTAAATGAATAGTTAGAGTTACCTAGGATTGTTTTTGTATGTTGATATGAAAAAGTAAAAATAAAAATGTCTACACCTAGAAGGGATAGTGGTGGATAGCCAACACTTTGGCTCTAATGGTTAGTCTACAACTCTAACTTCCTACTATGCATCAAACATGCATTTCAGACTCCACCTAATAAAGAAAAAGATGACATTTACAATTACAATACTCGATATGAGATCACAGTAATTCAGTCTGGAACTTGCATTAAAGTGTTGAATGAAATGGGTGGAAGAAAAAGAAAGAAAGAAAGAAAAATGTTTATATTTAAGAGAGGAAGCAAGGAAACCGACTAAGGAGAATAAGAAGTTGAAAATAGAAGAAGCTAACGCAAGCAAACCCCACTTGAGAACGAGGGAGGCAATGTGTTGGTGTACGAAAGTGCCCTCAAAACGTGCATCCTCAATGAGCCAAGGAGAATCAAGAAACAGTGGGGATAGCAGCAGGCTTTGATTGGGATGTGAAGCAACTGGATAGTATAGAGGGTAAGAGTGGGCCCCACTTCAAAATCTTTTCTAATCCTTCAAATAAAAACCATTCAATAATAGAAAGTCCAAAGAATAACGGCCGGAGAGAGGAACCTTTCACTTGAAGAGTGCGAGAAAGTGAGTGGTGGCAATACCAATACCAATACCAATACCAATAGGGAGTAGCATCATTTCCTTCCTCAATAGCAAGACAAAGGAAGGAATAGTTGGGGTTGGAGTTAGTTTTAGTAGGTTCCTCAGCTTTAGGGATGCTGACGTGGACACATCCTCCTCCGTTGGATCAGGAGTGCCGTAGTATCCTCAGTTGAGTACACGTGCTGCTATCCCCACTCCCTCTTTTTTATCTTTGCTTCCATGCATGGATTTCTCCTCCAAATATAGTCAAGTGGAGAAAAGAGAGAGAAATCAACGCTCACTAACTCTAATTCTTTTTTTTTTTTTTTCCTCTCTTCTCTTCCCTTCTTCATCGCCATCATTGGCAACAAAGGTAACACAACATACCACCACACTGCTTCTTCGAGTTCTCATTTTTTCTTCCAAACTCAACTACCCAATAGGCTACTTGTAGTAGTAGTAGTAACCAGACACAACTTTGTTTTGCTTTGCTTTGCTTTGCTTCACTTCTCATTTTCTATGTCTTCTTTTTCCTCTTTTTGTGCCTTAGATGTCGAAATTTTGTTCAAACTCGTAGAAGGTCAGTGCAAAAAGGTTGCCTGATGCGGCTTTTCGCAGTTTCACCTCAGTAATCTGATCTGGGTCACGCTAGTTTTACTTTTCTTACTCTCTGGTTCGCGTCACGAGATCGATGAATTCAGCATTCCTGGACACACTCTGATTCAGCCTCCAACCAACAACCAACCCTTTTGCTTCTCTGATCCGTGACGATATTCAATGGAAGGAGATCAAATTCAAGAATTGAAACACGCGTGCAAGTTCTGCGCCAAGTGCTTCCCTTGTGGCAGATCCTTGGGGGGTCACATGAGGTCTCATATCGCCAACCTGTCGTCGGAGGAAAAAGAAAAGCTTCCCGCGAGGAAGCTTTTTTCATCGCCTCTCGACAATGATGGAGACAAAGATTCTGAAGCTGCTGCAACCAACGCTGGCTATGGCCTCAGAGAGAACCCCAAGAAGACTTGGAGAATCTCAGATCATTCAAGCGAAGACGCTTTGGCGTTTGACAAGTTCTGCAAAGAGTGTGGCAAAGGGTTCCACTCTTGGAAGGCCTTGTTTGGCCACATGAAATGCCACTCCGAGAAAGAGAGAATTTCCAACAGCTTGGAAGATCAAGATTCTTGGACTAATGCTAAGGTGGTCATGGATAGTCAATCTGATAACGAAGCAACTGCTCCAAATAAGAGAAGAAGGTCCAAGAGAAGAACAAGGTACACGGTTGCTTCTGCTGCAGCAACTTCTTCGGTTGTATCTTTTGCCAATCCTTCCTCTTCCATCTCTGAGGTTGAGCAAGAGCAAGAAGAGGTTGCTATGAGCTTGATGATGCTCAGTAGGGATGTGAGTCCTTGGAGTGGTCCTCATTCTGTTGCTGAGTCCTCTGACAATAACTCTGCTTATTTCGAAGCTCGATCTTCAGTTCGAACTAGTCTGGTTGCCAAATTTGATGGCAACAAGAATTTCACTCCTGACAAATTAAAAGTGATCAAGCAAAGTCATAATAAGGGGGAGGTTGGCAATTCGGAAAATCCCAACTCTACCAGAGGGAAGAGTTCACAACTTTTGCCTACTACTGCTTCTACGAGGATTACTGAAAATGGATTTAGAGTGAACAAAAGTGGAGTTTCCAATAAAGGATATGAAAAGGTCAACAAGTCTGAGCTTGAGGATGTGCCTCCATTGGAGGATTCTGAAGGGGAACATGGGAGGAGCAGAGTCAATGGACCAGAATCAATTTTATCGAAGTCCGCTACTGGCAGCAAGTACAATTCAATCAAGACAAAGTTTCTCGGTTCTGAATTGAAGTCAAGTAAGAACTGGGTGGACAAGGCTTCAGAAGCTGAATCTAGCAAGAACTCTCTTAAGAGAGGCAAGTTTGAGTGTACCACTTGCAACAAAATCTTCCACTCCTACCAAGCTCTTGGAGGCCATAGAGCTAGCCACAAGAAGATCAAGGGGTGCTTTGCTTCAAAAAACGAGAGCAGTGAAAACAGCATTGAAACTGATCTCTCTCCTGACCCAATAACAACCGAAAACAAGCTCATGAAGAACACTGACCGTAAGTATCTGGGGGAGCACCAACATGGTTCTGGTTTTCATAATGAGGTGGAAACTGTTACTGAGTCCAAGAAGAGCAAGGGGCATGAGTGCCCAATTTGCCTCAAAGTTTTTCCATCAGGCCAAGCCCTGGGTGGCCATAAGAGATCTCATATGACGGGTGGGTCTGAGAGTAGAAGCTTTCAAACAGTTGTACTTCAGGAACCAGTGGCAGAAATTAGGGACTTACTTGATCTTAATCTTCCAGCTGCTACTGAGGAAGAAAGCAACAGTCATGCTGACTCAAACAAACCCTGGTGGATAGTAGAAGACAACCACAAGCAGGAGGCACTGGTAGGCCTGATCTCATAGCCAAAGGTGGCATAGCTTATTTCATCAGTGCTGCTACTTCAGAGTGAAGATTCAAACTGTGTAGAAATGTTTCTGCATTCATTTCATTAATTCTTTACAGGATATGTGTCTTCTTCTTCTTCTTCTTCTTCTTCTTCTTCAGGGTATTTCTGTTTTTTCTTTTTTCTTTTTTTTCAGATTTTTCAAGTAGTTCATAACATACTGTCCTCTTCCTTTTTTGTTTTTTAATTTTCTTTTCCGGGTGCCATATGTTATTACTTTGTTCATAGGATAATTTTCATTTAAGCAAAGTTTAAGCTCAGTGTTTTGGTTCTTTTGGAAAGTCCAAGAATTCCAACTGATATCTGAGGTACTGTGCCACAGAATGGTACCTTTTTTTTTCACACACTTCGGACCTTGCATTTCAGAGATGTACTTAATTATATAATCATAAACTCCAAAGGTGACATGTTTGTGGGGTAATTATTTATCTTTGCATCAAAGAGAAATGAATGAAGTGTTGAAAAATTGGGATAGGTACCCAAAGCCATTACACATGAAGAGATAGAAAGTTAGATTTTATAATACACATAAAGAAGACATGTGAGCACAAGGTGGTTGTTTAGTCACCTACCATAAAACCTGACCACCCATCTATCTGCTGTTTCCTTCTCTTTCTTGGCACACAAGTGGTGTGCTAATAAATCCTTCTCACTAATTACTATGTACTCTCTCTCAGTAGCAAATATCATAATAATTCATCAAGAGAGTGAGGGGGATGGCTGGACCACTACTATGCAACAAACTGAAATTACAACGACCCAAACTTGACGCAAAGTGCAGCTCTACTTAGCTTACTATAAATTCAAACAATGGTTAAAGAACACTCTGTCTCTTTTCTTATACAATGAACTCAAATTTGTACATTTTGATCATAGAATATATTAATAAAGTGGGAATTTAACCATAATAAATTGTAGATCCTATGCTGGCACCAATTAATATGGATTGCTAGCTTTATCTGTACCTTTTTCTGTGTCACGCGCAACTATTTTGTAAAGGGTCTTTGTTGGCAACAACATAGCGTTTGGTCACTTGCACTGTGTGGCAGAAATCCTGTGTTTACTTGGTTTTAGTATCTGCCAGATGACTTTGTTTACTGTTTTGTCAACTATTTCAAACAGATTGAAAGGAAAGCTATGGAATCAGAACAGTGCAAATTTGGCTATTAGGTAGACCAACTTGAATGGAGTTGTTTAAACTAAAAAAACATTGTATTTTTTTCATTAGAACTGATCTTAAATTGAATCACATTTCTTATAATGGAAATATTATTCACGACAATAAAAATTGAACATAATTAATATTTTGTTTTTAAAATCACAAATACAAACTAACAAATCAAAATCTCTAATGTGAAATATTTTGAAAATGAGGGGATAATGAAGAAAGTACACTTCCACAAGTTACTACGTTTATATTTGCTGAAGTTTATGATATGTGCAATTGGCATAACTAGGTTAAATTTTAACTTATGAAAAATCAAGTCTGAATGAAAGTTTGACAAGAAACTTCATAATACTGTTATATTAAATTCTTCCATCCACGTAGCAGCCTTACATCATACCCAAATTGGCCTAAGGGAAATTAAAAAGTAACTTGAAAATATAAAAGATAAAAGTCTGGTTTGGATCAAGAATAGCTAAAATACTTGGCAGCTCGTCAACTTTGTTTATAGAGTCAATGGGATTCGTTTGGAAGTTTGATTCCTGAGAATATCACTAGTGATAATATTTAATAATAAATTGTTAACATTTAAATAGTAACAAAAATGAAGGTTAAGATCAGATGCACTCTTGATCACAGTGTGCCCCGTGAGGTATGAATTGAGCATGTGGATATTATTTAGCTTGTGGTGGGTGTCGTGAAATAAACAACAAATGATTAGTTCAGCTTTTATTGGATCTTGAGTTTTCCATTTGTATTAGTTTATTAAGGGTCAGTTATTGAAAATTGAGAGAGAAAAAGTCTGAGCTAAAACTCTAGAAAATGCGATGCTGATTAAAGTAATTTGCTTAGCTTGCTTGAGGTTGTATCTGTGTGTCTGAACAATGCTGTTTTATTAGGTTAAAACAATGTCTTCATTGGCCAATGAAATTATTGTTCATACCATGAGTAGTTTATTATATATACATAATAATATGGACCAATGAACTACAGAAAATTCACCCCAGAGAACTGCTATTCTTGTAAAGCACTCACTTCTGCTGAGATTTTTTTAACGTGTAGAATTTATCTTTTCTTTGATGTACCTTGTTAAATCATTGAAGCAGCTTATGTAATTGGTTGGTGTAAATCGGTGATGCCATTCCCAACTCATGTTTGACAAAAACAAAACTGGCTTATTGAAAATGCAGCAGATGAATGTCATGGCTACATTCTGGTCAATGTTAATTTGCATGATATCATGTCTACACCTAACAGAGAAAACAACAAAATTTCACGTTGTCATTTCCAACTCTGATGAAGTAGTTATAAAGTGTGATTTATATGGAAAGCATGCACAAAAAAAGTCCTTCTATTTGCACCAGTCTTGCCTTTTTAATGGACTCACTTTTCAGTTCTTGGAATTCTATCTAAGCTTCATTGCTTTGTTTCTCTTCTATTGTAGGACACAACATTTCCTCCATTTTCATTAACTGGGAGATTTAATTTAGGGGCTTTGTTCACTACATGAATTAATTTCTTATGTTTGATTTCCAACATATATCTTAATCTAATTTCTGAAATTCAAAGTAGTGTGACAGTTGGGTATTAAAGGTTGGGAGATATGATTAATTGTCCATTGAATTTGTTATCATGTGACTCCCATTTTCAAGAATTTATTATCTTTTCCCCCTAGTAATTTAATTTTATTGCCCAGCTCCATCCATCACATTGAGTTAATTCCTAGTGGGGGAAACTTTAAAAAGAAAAACAAAACGCTAAAAGGTGAATTAAACCAACTTAGACCTACAACATGCTGAGCTTAAACAACGTTTAATCATGGACCACTTTCTCTGGATTTTTGTAATTTAAACCCAATGTTTTTAGGGTCTATTTAGGTTGTAGTCGGTTGAGAAATTAGAACAGGGTGTGCTTTATTTTATTTGGTGGTTGGATACGAAAGTAGAGTCAAAGTTTATTCTCATACATCTCTTCAAATACATCTCTTCAATGTTGAGAAAAGGTATATATATATATATATATATATATATATATATATATATATATATATATATATATATATATACTACTTTATCAACTTGATTAAAATATCGAAGAGTATATAATATGATACCGACGTAATAATATTAATTAACATAATCATAATTAACTTGATAAATATAACATATTATAGCAAACTAACAAATCCTAATTTTCACTCTACAATAGATATAAGTATTTTTACAAACTAAACTGAACGATTTTAAGAAAACTCACTAAAACTAATTTTGTTGGTTATATATTTCAATAATTTAATTCTCAAATTAAATAGGATTTGGATGACATTTCATCTAAACAATTCGCATCAATTGTCCTAATAAAGGTGAAAGCTTGAACCAACTTTCAAGTTACATAAATAAATTTTTTATCCCAATACCAAACATGTTATAAGTGTGTATATAAACAAACATGGACAAAATCGGATTTTAATGATATTCATTTTCTAAAATTAATTTTGAAGCGATGTGATTAAAGAGCTGCACCTAAAATTAATAGGAGTTGCACATTAATGGGGATGAATATGGCAGTTTAGAATCAGGTTAAACATTTTAGAGTCATGTTCACGTAGAATGATTTGTTTTACATTAAAAATGATACATGGTGCCAAAAAAGGTTAAAAATAATATTAAAAAAAAGTACGTGGAAGAAGTTTCATCAAATTCATAATGTGTTCGATTGTGTTTTTAATGAATTTAGAATCTAGATTTTTTTTTTATTTATATTTACCGTCCTCTCCTTAATTAAATATAATTAAGAATGAAACTTGAAAGCAATGAGTAGAAGATTGAAATGATTTTGATGATAATTCAAGTCAACTATATTCAAGTCAACATCATTCAAGATGAATTAAGGACAAGCTGAATTTAAGACGTTGGTGAAAATATGAAACATTTCCCTACATGCTCAAGATATGTTTTTGATAAAGATGATGATTCAAGCAAACTCAAGATGATTCCTGAATACTAGATAGAGTCTTAAAATAATGAATATGGAGGTACAAGGTGATGAAATAATATTATGCATAAGCCTCCAAATCACAAGTGTGATAAATATATTTTTTTTGTCATAATCAATTATGATGCATCGTAAATAGAAAAATGATTTTCATCGTTATAATTGATTATACCTGGTAATATAATCAATTATGTCAATTTAAATTTGAAAAATATATCTCGTTTTAAAGAATAAATATTTTTGAATACATCATGATTTTCTCTATGATATTATTAATGTTCAACAGTCATTTTCTAATGTTATTTTTCTATTTAATTAAGTTTTGATGAAAAAAAAAACACAATTACAGAATTTGAAAATACAATTTACATTCAATTAGTTGTGAGAAAAGAATTTAGAGTAAGACAACAGATATATTTTACACCTTGTGAGAAAATTCTCTTCTCTACTGTCTTCTGTGCTTTCATTGTTAACCACACTTGTTCTTGGAGATTGACATTCTACAGACTTCTACAATTTGTTGTCTCCATTATCCATGTGTGACTATTCTTATTTTTATTACCTTCATCCTTTTTGTATTGGTTGAAAAGGAGGTGTTTTTCATCCTTAGTGTGATTCTAGGGAGGTGTTCATCCTTAGTGAGATTCTAAGAAGGTGTTTTCATCATTTGATTTGTTCAAATGAGGTTTTTATTCCTAGTGTGATTCTAGGTAGGTGTTCATCCTTAGTGGGATTATAAGGAGGTGTTTTTCATCCTTTGATTTGTCCAGAGGAGGTGTTCATCCCTAGTGGGATTCTAGGGAGGTGTTCATCCTTAGTGGATTTCTAAGGATGTGATTGTCTTTTTAATTAGTTTATTTTTCACTGGTTCTTCTACTGAATTAATTATAATTTGTAAACTGAATTTGAAAAATAGTGAATTGGGAGTCAGTCTTGTGTTAAGAATTGACTGGAAACTAGATCTAGGGTTGACTATACCTAAATCAGTATAAATCTTTGTGTGCTCTTCTCTTTCTCTTATTTCTTTCTCTTTTCCTGATTATATTATCACTTTTGCTTTATATTTGTTCAAACAAATTATTAACTCACAAATAATTTATTAAAATGATATTTGTCCAACAATACTATCGAATAACATGCATTATGTATGGTGCAATCAAACTTGTGCACTATTTTATGTAAATTGTCACAACAAATTTGCAGATTGACACCTGAGTATGGGCTTCTTTAAAAAATCTATATATCCTATAAAAAATATAATAATTAATGTGACTTAGTATATTGTTTACGAGAAGTATTTTCAAAAATAATTAAGACAGGCTTAATTTGTCATTAATAATTCTTGTAATTATTTTTAATTTTATATTTATATATTTTCATTATCTAGTTATTATAAATTTAATTATAAGAATTAATATTTTCCCGCTACTTCACATATTAAAATATTTATTTATTTATTTATAATTCATCAATCAAGTATGTTGTGAGGCAAACAGTGCATTAAAGACGAGAATGACCTTAGCGGTTGCGACGGCAATGCAGCTCGGAGACGCAGCAGCGGGCCTCTAGTTTCTACCACCGCCGTTGCTACTCCGATCACTTCTGAGCTCTCTTTCACTCCAACTTTCTTATAATCACTCTAATTTCTGTCTTCAATTTCGAATTTTCATTTCATTACTGTCTTCGCTCTTCCTATTAATTCCTCTAAAGTCTAACATCCTCTGAAAAGTAAGCGCTCTCGGTTCTGTGTATTTTATCTTAGTTTTTCTTATTCACTTTTTAGGAAATTTTGACATGGTTTTATTGCCAATTGGTTAGGATCTCTCTCGATTGTTATGAAATTTTATCTGTAATGAACTTTGAACAGGTACCGTTCTTCCTATACGTTTGTGTCGAATTTATTTACATAAATGTCAAATAGTTTCAGTGATAATCATTCTCCCTTAAATGTGGAGGAACTTCGTACGAGAATTAGAAAAGAGGTACTTATCCCTCCCTTTTAAACCTAACTATTTCTTGTTGAATTACTAATTTTATGAATTATAATATTGCGAGTTCCAGTAGAATGGAGTATTTTTTGTATTTTAACGTTGTAACTTTCAAATATTGATTGTTTTTTCTACGCAGTTTGCAAGTGAAGTTTATCCATCATCTTGCTTTCTTTAATCACTGCATATTTTGTCTATGATTTACAGCATAGAAAAGAGAAGCGCGTTTTACAAAGCTCTCAGTCCCAAAGCATTCAAGAAGTCCAGGTACCTTACGTGGTAGGTTGTTGTGGCTAGTTTGACAGCGGTGATATGAGGTTGTAATGCCTGTTGATTTTATATACAGAGCCCCAGGTTCAAGTTTAGTGCAATAACTCCTCTTGCTGAACATCAAAATCAAAGTAAATCATACTTAAATATTTACATCACTCAAATAGACACTTGGTAAAGGAACAATACTGATTGGAGTCAAACCTTGCATAGATTCCTTTGGACTTAATTCGTAAAATCTTGCCATTACTTGAATGGCATACATAAATGTGTACATGAGTAAAAGGTTTTAGAAGTTGAGTTTTATCTAGCCAACACCTGTTGTTGATACAAAATCTGATTTATCATGTAGATGCAAATAATAGAACAACGTGAGAAGCCATTATCAGAAGCTCAGGCAGAAGATACGAAACACATTCAGAGGTTGGAAAAAGAGCTGCGGAACTGTTCCCAAGAAATAGGTAGTTTTTTTTTTAATTATTTTTATTTTCATGGCATACATTTGAACTTCCATGGATAAACAACCTTGGTGACAAAGATGTTTGTCATCGAAAGAGCAGGTCCTTATTTCCCCCTTCTGTCATGTCTCTTTCCTCAAAATTACTTTGTAATAGTTGTTGAATTCCCGTGGAATCCATTTATTGAATTCTGCAGTAAAAAATTTCAGGTTTTTAGAAGTCTTTCACCAGTTTTATCGGTTTGTATTTTATACAGATTATCTTCAGGATCAACTAAGTGCTAGGAATGCAGAGGTGAACTATCTGGAAGAGCGTGTTCACAGCCTTGAATTGAAATTAGAGGGGATGGAAGTTTTACATGAGGAGGTTTTCAGCTTGAGGGAGGAGCTGAAACGATCCACGTCAAAGCAATTTTCCTTGACCCAGGACCTAGATAATAAAGAAATAGAATTAAAAAAGTCTGCTTTATCCATAGAGAAACTAGAGGACTCATTTTCATCCGTAGCATTAGAGTCTCAGTTTGAAGTAGAGAGCATGAAGCTTGAGATGATGGCCTTGGAACAGAGTCTTTTTGAGGCCAAGAAAATCCACGATGAAACTCTAGATGAAAATAATAGAATGAGTACATCTATTGAGAAGCTCCAGGTTGCATTGCAGGATGCCCAAAATACCATCATCTCCCTAAATGAAGAGAATAGGGATCTTAAGGAGAAGCTTGATACTGCCAACAAAATCTCTAAGATTTTTTCTCAAAACGATGATTACTGGCTGGAAAACAAGGACAGATTACAACTCGATTCTCAATCTTCCTTGAGTGAACAAGGCAACAACTCTACCATAGTGGAGGACACAAGGTACATATTTTGAAGTTCTATTTAGATGTTTGACTAATTATTTTTTACATGTGGCCAGTTAAATATGTTACGTCAGTTGTGTATAGTTGCTGAAAGATGAAAATGTTTTCATTGTGAACTGCTGTTATCTCTTGGGCTTCACCTTCAATTGATAGTTTCATAATAGGGGCTTATAAATTTGACATTATAGGATTTAAGATTTAGGGTACCAAGAGGGAGAACCACTTAAGTACTTCACTGAGCATTCCATACTGTTTAATGTGGAACTTAGGCATCCTATGTACCCAAGTCTCTATCACTAAATGGATTGGATTTTTAAGAATGATACATATACTTTCACTAAACTTACATGTGATGTTTTTCTTAATATGTCCTCAGCAGTTCTGAAGTACGTGGTCCAAATATTGGAAGACCTGTCTTAGATCCAGCTGCAGATTTGAAAGGGGAGATGGAGATGTCACAACAGATCCAAGAATATGAATGTCTTATCAAGAAACTTAAGGTATGGCCCTCCATCTAAACCTGGTCATTGAAGTGGTTTGTTTGAATTTGTTAATGAGACTGTGTTTCATAACTCCATGGTTCAAATAACTTTTGTAGCTTTGATTTTTTTTATATGGTTTTTTTACCTCCTCTGCTAGGAAGAATTAAGAGAGGAGAAGTTGAGGGCTAAAGAAGAAGCAGAGGACTTAGTTCAAGAAATGGCAGAGCTGAGATACCAATTTACTAGTTTGCTAGAGGAAGAATGTAAGCGCCGTGCTTGCATTGAACACGCATCCTTGCAAAGAATTGCTGAGTTAGAGGCTCAGGTATGAATTTACAAGTTGAAATTTATTTTTATCTTTTCCTCTCTTGCTAATTCATTAGAGTTCATTCAAATTGTAACTTGCTCACGTTTTCCTCTTTCGTTTTTTATTTCAGCTTCGAAGAAAGCATAAAAGTTAAAACCTCAATTGTTGCCAGGCTTCTCCCTCAAACGTATGCTGGCACTGTCTAAGTCGTTCAGGTTCAGCAGTTAATGACCTCAAAGGTTTATATCAATATGTCTCAAAAGTTTCTCTCCGAATATAAAAGTAGCCTACTAAATTCTTATGTCACTACACTGGAACTATCGAATTCAAAAACCTGGTTGGATGGAAAGTCCAGCATATAATCCTTGTCTCTTGCATATCTAATCTTTTTTACTGGACTCCCTTTTGTACGTACTGAAGAGTTTGGTAGTTCTCATGCATTATAGCTGCATAGTTCACAGTACTGTGACCATAAATCAGTTGAGGACTAATTTTAATATCATCTAATTTATAGAGAAAATGAAATGATGGAAAATTTTAATGGTTAGAAGAAGAGAATAGAATGAAAATGCAATAATGCTCCCTTCCCTTTGTTTGAGTCGTTAAAAATATTAGTACTTCATTTTTTAATCCTGATATATTGAATTTTGCTTCTTGGCAGTTTCTTCAACATTCATGTAGTATCAATCTTCCTCTTCGATTTCAGTGTCATGCAAAAAGAAGTCCATTGATTGATTTGCCATTGTTTCTCAGGGTTTATGGTTGGTTGAAAGCGTCGGCAAGAAAATTGCCATTCTGGGCTACAGCATTGTCCCCATTCCCTTCCATTGTGAAGTAAGATTTCTATAAGACGTCTTCCTATGGTTTTTATTGAATCTGAAAGAATCTAAGGGACAGTATAGAAGAACAGGGAACGACTTGGCACATGTGAATAAGGATGCCTGGAGAATTTTATTTTTTTTCTTTTCTTTTTTCTTTTCTGTGTTTAGGGGGCAGGGAGGGGAGAAGATAGGTTCGTAGGAATTGTACGTGATCGACCAAGAATTTAGTTGCCATTCATTTTTTTATATAAGTGATTCTTGGCCTAATTCATTCAAGATGATGATAGAAATAAACGATTATTTTTTGAAAAAGCAAATTACCTGTTAAAAATTTCATGACTTTCAGTATGTTCTGGCTACTTCTTACTCACCATAATTTCATTTTCTAAAATGTCAAGGGAGTTCGATTCAAAGGGATTCTCATGCTTATCTCCAGAAAAGGAAGGGGATCATGATAAAAATAGAAAATTGGTGACTGCGAGTCCATGTTGCCAGAAAAAGTTCTAAAATTAAGTCAGATTGATATTCTTAGCTTTGGAAATTAGATCTAAAACAGACGGTACAGTGTCTTTATGTAAAGAATTATCGAGCCATCTGAAAATTCCTACTGTGCTTAAATATTTTAAATTCCAAGCTATTAACATACCAACTACTAAAATTTTGATCTCAAGTTGCAATTTTTTTTTCTTGAATCTAAAAATACAATGTTATGTTTGATAATTGCATTAATTGCTTTAGTTATGTAATTTATCTATTTAAAACAATTATAGATAATTAATTATAAAATTTAAAATAATATGATTTTGCTCAAAATAATTTTATTACCTTAATTAATTTAAATTGTAATATATATATATATATATATATATATATATAGGTTGTAATAGTGATCATTAATGCAATAATATATTTTTATAAACAAAAGAACAGCAATCGATCAACGGAAATAGCAATTCTGACTCGGTTATTCAATACATATTTGATCGGATGAATTTATGCTAATTGTTTTGAAAAGAAACGTGCAATTATTTATGTAAAATCACTCTGTCCCGCTTATGTATTTAGATTTGTAAATCCCATATTTGTAGCAAAACAAGAGCAAAGTAGATAAAAAAATAAAAATTAGGCGACTAGAAGTGTTATATCTTAGAAGAGAGAGAGAAGAAAGATGAGGTTGATTGCGGTTGAGATGCATAAGATAACAGTACATTACATCCATTAAAAAATTATACAAAATGAGCGCATAAACACCCCACCCTGGCTTCATCCTCTCTCTTATCTGAGAAAAACAGAAAACGAAAGTGATTAATAATAATAATAATAATAATAATAATAATAATAATAAAAGGAGGGTGGAAAAGAAGTTTGAGAACGAGAGAGTGAAAGAGTGAGTGAAGGCTTGAGAAGGGAAAGAATAAGGCTACACATCCTTGGCAATGAGGTCACCGTTGATGAGCTCTCTGTAGGCAGCAACGGGCCAACTGAATCCCCTGAAAAGCAAGCGAGAGGCCAGAGGAACGTCGATGATGATCTCCTTCATCGTAGGTTTCTTGTCGTCCCTGATCGCAATAAGGTAGCTCCGACCCACCCACCCGATCCACCCGGCGATGTACAGGAAGAGGATTCCAGGAGTGATGAACTCGCCCCAGTGCCTCTGGTCCCCGCTCACGATCAGGTGCGGCAGCCCGTCCGAGCCGCACAGCAGCCCCTGCTTCGCGTAGTTGTCGAACCGCCGTTTCGTCTTCTCCACCGACGCCTTTATCGCAAGGGCGGGGGCGCTGTCTGGCTCGTACAGCTTCAGCGATGACTCCAGCTTCTTAATCGACTGCTTCTCGCGCTTCGCGAACTGCTTTGACTCCTTGCATGGGGTCAGACCAGAGATGTCTGCGACGGCAGGAAGTGGTGCTGAGAGCAGGATGGAGGAGAGGGCGAGGGCGGCGGAGAAGGCCTTCAGATCGGAGGATGTGGTGGTGGTGGTGTCCGGATTGTTGGGGGTGGCGCTGCAGACGATGGTGGGCCGCAGTTTTGGGCCCAGTTTGGGGCGGAGGGCGGCAGGCTTGGATAGATTGGTGGGAATTGTTAGCGACATGGTTGGGGTGTGGAAAGGATGTGCGAGGATGGAGTGTAGGGTGGGAAGTGAAGTAAGAAGGGAAGGTTTTTAGATTGGTGGTGGTTAACTAAGGAAAGAGTTTGGGATTGTGGATAAGGTGAGGTTAGTAAAGAAGCTGACTTGGATTCTCGTTATTGGTTGTGCCTCACTCCTACTTTCTCATCTGTTATCTACCTTGGGTTGGATAAGAGAACTTCGTGTCCATGTCTCGTGATATCTTCATTATTTATTCACTCTATTTGCATGTTCTGTGACATCTATATTTGACTAAACAATTATTTGTTTTTTTTTTTCTGTAAGTTATTTTTCTTTTTTGGTACTGCTTTAAAAGTTTTCTTTAAAATATAAAATTACAATTAGAATGTTCCTCTGGTTATGTTGAAATAATTTTTTAGCCCTTTGGTCACATTAAGTTTTGCTAGATTTAATTTGGCTCAAAATAAGCGGATTTTGGTTTGTCTTTCCGGCATTATAACAATGGGGTCCATAGATTATGATCCAAATTCTGTGAAATACAGAATTCGGCCGAGTATTATTGTATCAGTTCAAAACACTACCAGAACTCCAAAATTTCTTAATAGCTAAAGTAGGCTGGTGTTACATATATCATAGTGTATTGGCCAAAGGCATAAAATATATTTCTTAGCCTTTGATCTGTAAACCATATAACTCAGAAGAATAATTAATCAAGGCCAAAATAAACTTATATGTGGTTGCCGTACTTTGTTCTAAAAAACAAAAGCCACTAAAACACTTCCTTCAGCAATAACAAAATAAAGATTTTTGGTAAACCTTATGAATAAGAATAACAAATAAACTCTATGAGCACATTCTTGCTTTGTAAAAAAGCGCATAACAGCCATGTGCAATGTTCAAGTGGCAAAACTTTGTAATATGGTGAGAGCAGGCATCATCATAGAACCTCGTAAGCTTCACACGGGCGGAACAGCAGACACATGCACGAGTGACATGCCAGTACTTGTTATTGTTAACTTACCTACAGAGATAGATCGCAAAAGGAAAACAAAGTCAGTACTACGACAACCACGTAAGCCACAGCATCTGGACACTCGCATTTAAAGTGAGAATTGACACAAAATGATGCCATCATTTCATGGCATTAATTGAAATTCAAAGTTTGTAATCATCCCTAGCTTAGTCAACTATATAACGTGAGCACAGAGCACACACTACAGGTCAATGTACAAGCACAACAATTTGAATAGACTTTTGTTAAACCTAATACATGTCAAGGATGTTTGTGCCATAACATGCATATAAAAACTTAGGTCTCCTTTAACTTATAAAAACCTATTTTCAGCAGTCACAAACAATAATACATCTTACCAAAAAATAGCATATGTGAAATCATGATATGCAGAGGATTCAGGCTAATCCAAATTATCAATTTAAATCATGATGGATAATGTCATATGACTGAAACACAATCAAAATAAATGAAAGAATTTGACACAGGTTGAAATTATTCAAGACACTTAAAAATGTACTAAACTAAACTAGAAAGCCAATACCTCCATACAAGTTAAAAGTGTTAGACTTTGATAACTTCTCATATATATATATATATACACACACACACACACATACACGTGATATTTGTTTATACTTGATAAATACATCATTTAATAAATCCCACTATACTAGCCTTGTCTGATCATATTGATCTACTTTCACCTTTAACTGAAGGTTTCATATATTGTAGGTATACTTGTATGAACAATGCTTCCCATTTTGAAGAAAGTTATAAGCCAATTTACGATTTGAAAACTTACAGAAGATGAATGGAAGAAGGACCAGACACTGCAGCGGCTCTCTGTGCCCGATGTGCTTCAAATTTATAAAGCTCTTTTGTTTCTTTTTTAGTGCGGCGTGCCTCCCGTCGTTCCTCCTTCACAGCAGCCTACAAAATAACAGCCAACCCCCTGTCAAATGTAGTAGTAATAGTAACAATAGATATGTATCAAAGGAAAACACAAACACAGGTAGCAGACTTAAGTTGACAATATAGACACCTTCCGTTCCTTCTTCTCCCCCTTTGTCTCGAGGCCATGTTGTTTTCTCTTGTGCTGTTCAGCTTTTGGAATGCTCTGGCCTTTAACCTTTTCAGTGGAAGCTTTCCTACCACCAGGTAAGAAGTCTACAGGGAGTTTCTCTTTTCCTCTAAGGGATATTATTTGATTAGAGGAACTCAAGGCTGCAGACACAGTTTGAGCCAATTTCTTTTTCCTAGACACTCCGGGCGCTTCAATCTTTCCTGGGTGATTATCTAAATTTGAGTATGTCGAAACAATTGTCTCACAATCCCACACTTCTGATTCATCACTACTTTCTTGTACAAGTACAACATCCTTGTTATCATCTTCAACTTCATAGCCCTCAGCATATTCCTTGCAACGACGAATCACATCAGCAGCAGTATCATCTTGTTCCTCATGTGGGGCCGCTTTATTCTTCAATAAATCTGCAGGAACCTTATACTTGTCATCATCAAGTTCTAGATCATCCATTGCATGGTTGTTAAGAGAGAGTTTGAGCTTCTCTGCAAGGGACTCATCTTCCTCAGCTTGATAATTTTTATAATAATCACCATCATCTTCGTCATCATCATCAGTTCCATATTCTTGGCGTTCCAGCTATATAATAGAAATATACAGAGCATGAGAAACATAACTGTCAAAAAGTCAAGACAGTCAATAAAGACATAATACTCGCAATTATAGTGAAGGACATAATTTGGCAAAGGCATCTTCCATAGATACCAGAAACAAAGAGGCCTGACATGCCTCATTAAATAGTATGATTTGAAAAGAGAAGGCATAGGAGAACCAAAATATTGACACAGAACAAAGCAACCCTCACCAAATCAAATTGCTCATCCAGCAATCGACGAGCTCTTGGGTTCTCACCAACACAGTCCGCACCTGGTACACCATCTGTTGCCCCATGAAGAGGTCCACAATCATCTGTATCTCTGGAATGGGTAGAAACTTGCAGTACTTGTGCAATGTTTGGGTTTCTATTTATCAGAGATTCCTCAGAAAAACTAGTTTCATTACATTTTTTATTCTTCTCTTCATCTTCATCATCTTCAAGAAGATTTGCCTGAACAACAAAGTCTTCTTCTAAATCCTCAACATCAGATCCCAACCTTGACACATCGCTGTCATCAAGCAATGCAGCCACTTCAGGATCAACCGCTTTCTGCACCCTTACGCTGGTAGTCTTGGATGCAACAGTGTACAAAGAATTCTCCTCAGGCTCTCCATGGACCTCAGAAATTTGCAATCTCGAAGCATCATATGCCTAAACTCACCAACAAAAAAACCACACAACCAATCAATTTCCACCTCAACACAAAACCAAGTTATTCATCCATCCCTACAATTCATGCTCGTATGAACATTATAGACCTCACAATTCAGATGCTAAATGAAACAAAAAATCAATAAGGCTGTGTTTGAGTCTGCAAATACCAAACGCATCCATAACTTCATGCGCACAACTACATATAGAATCATGACTTCGGATGGGAGTGTTCATTTCACGTCATCTTTCATGAAGGTGATAACAATTAGTCCTACATTAGTTTGGAAAAAATTACACCTTCAAAATGTGAACTATTTCTATCATATGAAGGGGGTGAGCATCGCACATTCCAATAGGAATATAACTGCCTATACCTACTAGGTTATTTTCCTTCTTTTATTTATATTGTCAATTTTTAAATTAAATAATTTTTAACTTTATTCTAAAATTACGAAACATACAAATCTATCATACAAATAAATTCCTGCGAACACAAAATCATACCCCAAAACAAAAGCCGTCTTTCTTATTTGACACCTATAAATCAAATACACTATTCAATTTAAAAGCTACCAAGATATAAAAAAACGAGAAAGGAGGGAGCACCTTAACATCACGAGGGAGGTGCTGAAGCTTGAACTTGGGATTGTGAAAGAAAGCAGCACCAGCGCCAGTGTTCTTGATTTCCCTCAAGTGACTCAAGTAGTTATAGCCATCATCCGGAAATCCTAGTTCCAAAATCTCCTTTTTGACGTCCTCGGGCAAAGGGTCACCGCTAACTCCACCGTTGTAGTCATCGTAGTTGTCGTCGAAACCGGAATCTTCAGCGACAGGGAAGGAAACGGGGTTGTTGTCGACACGGACGAAGACGCGATCGGATTGGGAGAAAGAAGGATCGGTGGAGTCGCGAGCGATGAGTTGGAAAGTGGCAGAGTTCTTCTTGTCGATGAACTTCTTCTTCCTACCTCCCATTGTGCCCTCCAAATGTTCAACGAAACGAGTGACACACCAACAATTACAAAATGTCGGTGTTGTTGTGTTTCTCACTGTGCCTCTGCACAATCTGCAATCTGAAGTGGTGGTACTACCAGAAGGAGAATGAAAACCCTAGGGATATTTTCACAATGGTCTTAGACAAAAATAAATAAATATAACCAGTAAACAAATTATAATTTTTTTAGTTTGATTTAAGTCAAACTACAAATATAAGAGAAATTATCTCCTTCTGGTGAAATATTTCTCACATCTTTTTCTAATCTTAATATTTCTCAGATCTTTTTCTAATCTTAAAATAAACATAAGATATTTATCTCTATTTTATTTTAATATAAACAATTAATCCTTCTAATTTAAAAATATACATTTATTATATTTTTATTAAAATAATATTTATATTACTTTTAATCTTTATTTAAATATTCATCTTCTTTTAGTTGGATTTGTTAATTATAACAACTTAAAAAAACATACTGATAAAAAAAAAACTTAAAAAAATATTTATTATAATTTTCTCGTAATTTTTTTCTCTTTTGTTAACATTAATAATTAAAAATAACTTTTTTCTTTTTTTTTAAATATTTCATATTATTAATTTATTAATTTTATATAATATTTTTTCAACAACAAAAACATAATTATAAAAAAACTATCATATATAATATAATTATATATGAAAGAGATCTGTTTTATTATTTGTTTTAGTGTCATTAGAGAAAAAAATAAAAATATTATAATTTTAAAAAATATATTATAACTTATATATTAAATAGTAAAATAATAAAATAAAATTTATATATTTAAAATATAATATATATAAATATATATATTAAAATAAATTAATTATTAAAAAATTGAATATCACACCTATATTTCTCGTAATAGATATATAATATAAACCAATATAAACAACTAATACATATATTTTTTATATTATTAATTTATTTTTAATTATTAATTTTATTTTATTTTATTATTTTTTTACTACATTTTTAATCAGTTTTTTAATTAATTTTTAAAATATATAAATTATAATAATTGTTTTTTTATATTACATCTCTCCCTTTTCAATATGTTATTATTTTTTTTCTCTCCCGATACATTAAATTATTATAAAAAAAACTCTTATATATAATAAGTATAAATATTATATTTCTCAATTTATAAAATAATATATTATATAAACGAACATGCTATATAATATTATCAATATAAACATATAACAATTTTAAAAAATAACAAATATTTCACTGTATACTATATCACATGATATGCAAGATATTAATTTAAATTTGGATTTCAATATTTCGATCATAATATATATATATATATATATATATATATATATATATATATATATAATACAAGTTTAAGTTATATTTATGATTTTAAATGTTTTAATAATATTTTTATTGCTCATAAATTATTTTATTTAAAATAAATACTATTGTCAGATATCATCCCTTTAATAAATATTTAATAGAATTGTTTAAGTTATATAAGAAAATATAAAACTCGTTTTTTTTTTTGGCATCTACTGTCACAAAGTAACACATAAGAAACCTTGATATCAACTACAATATAAACAAATACACACAAATATTATAAAATATATATTCACTGAATATACTATTTAACATGATAAACTATAAACATATTCCATTTACTTATTATTCATTCAAAACTTAAGATTTGATTACAACTTTTAATTTCTACACCTAATTCAAAATTGTATCAATTGAGTACTGAATATAGCAACTCAAAAAATAAAAAATGCACAAGACTTCATAAAAACGAAAATAAATATCATTCTGGCTTTTAAGAGTGAGAATTTTCTTAAGAAGAATAATAATAATAAGATAAAACTTATAACTCAGAGGTGGATAATAAAATTACAATGGCCCTTCTATTTAATTATAATAACTCGTTGAGTTTTAATGACATGTTTGGGGTACTTCGTTTTTGGACTGACTCGTGTTTAATCAACCTACACAATACTAGGTCAATGGCCGGCAATAATTTAATTCATTACTTGTTCCGCTTAAAAATGGAGAAATAAAAAATTGTAACAAAGCACCAATTATATTTCTCATTTCTCGTGTGAACAGTAACACTACTCAGGCTTAAATACTAATATATATATATACACTTTATTAAATAATACAATTAAATTAAAATATATTTTTTTAACACAACTTTAAATTATCAAAACATAAGAAATCGTTCTAGCATAAATTATACCAAACATAGCAAATATAATCGTTTTTAATAGTTAATATTTTAATACTAGTGCATCAACTAAATTTTAAATAAAATAAATATTATTTTATCTAAAAAGAAGATATTCGATGTTAGAGAATTTTGTGTTTAAAAAATATATGATATATCATAAGAGTATTCCAATTTCTTATTTATTTTAATAATATTATTAAAATTAATTATTATATAAATTATTATCTTCAACGACAATTTTATCCTTAAAAGATATAAATTAAGAAAAAAATTATATATATAAATTATTTTTAATTACAATTCATATAATATATATAATATTTTAATTTGATTATATTTAAAAATAATAAATACATGAATTAGAAATTATCTTAATTATACACTTCTTCACTAAAATATGAAAATAAATATTTTTATATTAATTCATCTTATCCTATATTTTGAAGATATTGTTGTAATAATTTGGATGAAATTTTCATTTCTAATATTTAGAAGTGCATTTCACATATATTACTAAATAACTATTAAAAAAATTCCACTCAATTATCACAAATTAAGTATCACTTTTATCTTTACTTTAATTTGTTAACTAATATCTATTTTAATTTTAAAATAATATTTATAAATTGCTTTATATTATTCAATATAAAAGAATATTTTTAAGTGAGAATCCCAAATATTATTTACTATTTGTCCCTTTCTTCACATATGAAGGTAGAATCCTCTTCCTTCCCCTTTCATTGGAATATTTAGTACCCAAAAACCCCAAAAGAAGATTTCAATTTTCCACGTTTAGAGAAGTTGTCAAAAGTCCTTTTAACTTATTTTTTTCGGTTTGAAATGGCTCCCACATAGCACATCTCAAAAGGTCCCCTACTTGATCCATTCAACGTCTCAATTCAAACAACGCCTATAATAAACAAACATATACATAAATATTAATATTTTAATCAAATAAAACGAACCAAAAGAACAAGAGCGCATCACCAAACCCCCCCTCTCCATTTTGCCTTGCGAACTGAGATTTCTCTGCAGTTTCCACCCTCCAACTCTGACATTTCTTGACGCGATTTTGGCTTTACCAACTTCTTATTGAAACCCTTCTTCTTCTGCCGTTGTCTAGAGCTCTCAAAATTCGTGCTTCTTTACGAGTCTTTCTGAACATTCCTTTTCCTCTCCCGGGTACCGGCTTGCTTTATCTTGTACAAGTTCTGATTTTGATGGTTCTGTTGCTTGGAGAAGCCCTTTTATCGGTTTGGGTCTTCTGAGATTTGGATTTCTTGTGTTTTCCGCTATTCTTGGAAATATCGTGTTTCTTGATCTTTCTACATAAGGTTTCTGATCAAGAAAATGTTATTCCATTTTCTGTAGAGAGTTTTTGTACTTTTATTCTACTTTTTAATACCATTCCCTGTCCTTGTCAATGGTTGTTGATTCCGTTTTTGTTTATGTTGCTTTACACTTAATCGCTTTGATCCGTTTTCTTGGCCCTTTTTATTAACATGTAGTTTTAGTCAAGTTATGAATAAGGTTTCTTGATGAAATTAATGCTTTTGTAATAAGTGGATTAAGAATTTGATATTTGGGTTTCGTTTGCTTGTTGTGGAACATTTACAGAGATTGAATAGAACTTGCTTGTCTTTACAGGGAAAAATTCGCATATCTTCTTTGTCAAACAGGATTTTGAGAATTTTACTTCTTTATCTGCCTCTGAATCAATTTTGCAAGAAGAGAGATAATGTCGGGTGCAAAGAAATCCCCTTTGAAGGTTGCTAAACCTAGTTCTGTTGAATCTTGGACTAATCCATTTGATTCTGATGATGAAGAGAAGGACACCAAAAAGTATAGTTCCTCCCGAAAGACTTCTTCGGACCGGGCACTTGTTACGCTGGAAGTTAACACCAACCCCTTTAATGATGAAGTTGATGCCTCTAAGAAATCTTCATCAACTTCGTTTGCATTTCAATCGGCCAACCGGAACAGGTACAAGAATGATTTTCGCGATTCAGGCGGATTAGAGAATCAATCGGTTCAAGAATTGGAGAGTTATGCTGTTTACAAGGCTGAAGAGACCACAAATTCAGTCAGCAATTGTTTGAAGATAGCGGAGAATATAAGAGAGGATGCCACCAAGACACTAGTCACTCTTCATCAACAGGGTGAACAAATTACCAGGAGTCACCATATTGCTGCTGACATTGACCAAGATTTAAGTCGGGTATCAATCTTGTTACTTTTTCAGTGTTCCTATTGAGTGGCTTCTTCATGTTGGTTTACCTTGGTGAACATGTTATGCTGTTTCATAACATCTTTTTGTTATAAAACCCTTTGAATTCAATATTATTCTGCTGTAAATCTGACTAAATTTTGACTAATTCCGCTTCCAGGGAGAAAAGCTCTTGGGAAGCCTTGGTGGCCTCTTTTCCAGAACTTGGAAACCAAAGAAGACGCGAGCAATAACAGGCCCAGTTATTGTTGCAGGTTAATATCTTCTCTGCACAAGTGCACATGTTTTCTTTTATAATTTTTTTTTGGTGTAGTATCGTTGGCGTAATCTCATGATAATTAACATCTTTGAAGGTTTGGTTTTAATCAAATCAAATGGCTTATTTGACCCATGTAACGGACCTCACCTAATGCAATAAGCCTTTGCAGTTGTTATTATTGTTGTATCATTGGCATAATGTTGTTCATGATATGCAGATGACCCAGTCAGGAGCAAGGGCAACCATTTGGAGCAGAGAGAGAAGTTGGGGCTGATTTCTGCCCCCAAAGGGCAGTCCAAGATGCGGACCCCACCTCAAGAACCAACTAATGCACTTGAAAAAGTCGAGGTTCGTGTCTACTAGTTGGTGAAGATTAAGTTGTTGTAACAGACTAGTTTTATTTACAATCGAGTTACCAATTTTGCTAACTTTATCTTCATCATTCTGCCACTAACATTAGACTCTAGCCACTGTTATATACGACATTATATTTGTTGTTAAGATTGAATCGGGATACTAAATAAAATGTCCCGAAACAGGTTGAAAAAAAGAAGCAAGATGATGCACTATCAGATTTAAGTGATCTGCTGGGAGAGCTTAAAGACATGGCTGTTGACATGGGATCCGAGATTGAAAGGTAATAAGTCAATCACATTGTCTTATAATATTCATAATCGTTGCTTCTCAAGTGATTCATGAGCACTAGATTTTAATTTACTTGTAAAACAAGGTTATGGTTTATCTGACAATTTGATGAATGCCTAATAGTTATTTGGTTAAATGTTGTTGCACATGCAGGCATAACAAAGCCCTGAATCATCTCTACGATGATGTGGATGAGTTGAATTTCCGAGTGAAATGTGCCAACCAACGTGGCCGTCGCTTACTCGGAAAATAAGAATGATTTCAGCTCTTGCTATTTAATTTTATTACCTCATCATTGTTTTTTCTATTTTCCTCTTTGGATCCATCTCCTGTTATAATAGAACAATCTTTCCATTTTGTTTACACCTGCGTTGCATTATAATATTAAATTTGCAACAGATTTAACTCTTCTTGTTGCAATACTAAATTCAATTTGTTCATCTCTCACCCTGATTTTATGGGTGGATCCCCTAACGTGCTCTCTCTATCTCCGAACTCTGTCTCTGCGATTTGCAGAAGTGCTGCGTGATTAGTGGTAAGAGAGATTAATACAGAGTTTAATATTTTTATACTGATAGGGAATGTCAAAATTCATACTGAAATATTTAGAAATAATGAAATATTTTCATTGAAGATAAGAAATGTTGAAGAAAATATGCTTGCCTGTGTGTTTTAAGAAATATTTTTCTCAGAAAATGTTTTTAAAATACACCTCAAAACTGGATTTTTTTTTTCTATTTAAAACAACGTTTTCAGTCCTTTTTTTTATGAAAATAAAAAAAATTAATATGATTTCACATTAACCGATTTAATTTTGATCATTAAAAGTAATATTATCTGGGTGCACCGGTGAAAAACACTTTTAGACGTAACTAAAAAGTAAGGACTTTGAACAAACAAATATTGACTCTTCATTGGAATGACACTGATTTATTAGGATTTTTAGATTAAAAAAATTAAATTAAATTATTGTAAATCATTTATTATATTTTAATATAATATTTAAAGTAACTTATTAATATATATATAAGTATGTTTTTTATATATTTCTTATTTTATAGTTTGATTGTATTTTATTTATAATATATTTATATTTATCAAAATATGATAATAATTTTATATTATGATAATTAATTATAAAATTATGTACTTTTTTTATAAATATAAGAAAAGTTAAAAAATGTATAAAAAAATTAGAATATGTTTCTATTTTAATATTTTTTATTATTATTTTAAATATTATTTCATAATTTTATAATAAAAATAACAATTTTATTCCTTTTAAATTTTATAATAAATTAAAATTAAAGTAAAATAAATATTTAATTTTTATTTTATAGAAAATTGAAACAAACGGAACACCTATCATCACTGTTAAAAAGTGCTAAAAGTAATGTCAACATTGTCAAATTTCCCCCCACAAAGCAACTAAGTACTATTTCTATCAAAAATATTGCTCTGTAATGCAAAATTGACTTTGCCCAAATTTACCAAATGTTGAGATAAAGGTAGAAACAGTTTCAGAGCCTTAAATTAAACATGGTTAGGATAGTTTTTTTTTTTGTTTTTTTTTTAAAAACATGGTTGGAATGATTGAATTAGTGAACTGATGTAGAGTTTGTAATTAACAAAGCCTGTCACAGAAAGGATGCATTCTTATGCATACTCTCTTAATCATATTCTTTTATTATTAGTTGATATTAACTGAGACAAAATTCACTCTATTTAATGTCATGCTTATTATTTTTATAATTTTCACAAGCTTTGGACAATTAGAAAGTGTTCAAAAATCAAGATTAGTTGAAACATAGCTATATTATTCGATTTTAAAATCATAATTTCATTTAAATATTCATTACCTATTTTCTCTCTCACACAAAAATATAGTAAAACAGAGAAGAAAAGAAAGAGAAAAACTCTTTTTTTTTTATTCTATTGATAACTGACATATTTAAGTGAAAGATTTTATTTATATAATCCCCATTTAGCTACAATGTCTTAGAACTTATATAAAACAAACAACAAACTCAGTCAACCCTTTGGTCAAGTTCACAATAGATAGTTCAACTATGATTTAACTTGTATCTAACAAAATTAAGAGACTTTACAGTTAATTTTAAATAATTTGAATCAATAACATATATGCAAGCTATTTAATTATGATCCTAGTAAGTATGTTCATATTAAATTAGTGATTACAACTTTGACACAAGTATATAGCCTATTAAATGTATTCTAGTGACAGCTCACATTCTTTAGTCCTAATAAGTCCTAGTCTACAAGATCAGTTGAAGGAGTTAAAGTTTTCCATGTACAGCACAAGCTGGAGCATCAAAGTTGGGGAATACAACAAATGCAATGGATAAAGGAGCTAAGCGTATTGGAGAATGTACACTATTGAGTACTGGAGCCATTGTTGGAATTTCTCCATCATTTGACAACTCTAGGGGTATACCATTCAGCAGCATGGTTTGGCTTCTAAGGTAATCATCTTTTGCAGTTAAATGGTACTCCTCTCTGAATGTGACTTCTGATCCTTTTCTTCCAATCCAAGAAAATGCCCTCTTCAGATGACTAAAGAATGAATTTTGTACATGGATCCTTGTAGCATTTTCATTTCCTCCATTACTCACAGGCACACGATCATGAACCATGAGTGTGAAACGAGTCTGATTGCTCAAATTGATCAGCAGTAATGTTATACCATCCTGGATATTGAAATTAAAAGATTATTATAGGAATGATAAAAGTGAAATGTTATATGAACTTCAATTAGAAGTTGGTGAGCAAACATCAGATATAGAAGAAAAAACTCATAATGTTTCTTTCAATAGTTTATACTTCTATAAGATGATAGGGCTCTTACTCTGCCTTTTGAACAATGTGCATAAGTGCGTAAAGAAGGTGAAAAAACATCACTACTAGCTGCAAGAACAGTCTTCCCCATTAGCTGATGCCACAAAAGTGCACTGCTCAAAACATCATCAGGACATAGATTAGATATGTTAAGCAATATATTTATTTAGATAAACAAATATATATTCTTCCTTTTCTCTTCATTTTACATTTTGAATATACACTTGCCTGTAGTAGTCTGGATTAGGAACGAAGGTAGTGGTGTTGAGAAGGCCATAGTTTCCTCCAATTAAAGTTTGTCTGCAGTAAACCTTGGTGTTGTATCTGGATGCTATTCCAAGTTGATCTAAGTACCTGAAGTTACGTAACTCTTAGAACATAATATTATAATTAAAAAGAGGAATAGAAAATGAAGCCAGGAAGGGAAGAACAAAGATTACCAGAAGCTATTTACAAATGTGTCAGAAACTTGACGACCACCACTGTTGAATGCCCCCCCAGCTTCTCCTACCCATGCAGAAGACCAATGGCCATATTTTTGAATGGTTTCTGAAAGATCGCTAAAAATTGGTTCTACATTGCTCAAGCGCTGGGGATCTAGAATCTTCATGTCAAGATGCTCATCACTACCTGAGAAAAAGAGAAAATTGTTTAATATTCTAACCAGAAAGGATTAATTATCCCCTCAATTGATTGTATCTGATGCCATTTCAACACTACAAACAAATTAGAAAAGAAACTCTAGAAGGATTATAACTGCTTTCTTTCACATCCATCATCTAGTTCTGCTAGAATGTAAAATATTCTCTATGGATGACTGTAGTAGAATAATTAGCTAAGTGACAAGCAAACCTGGGCCCAAATTATACACGTGATGAGTCAGCACATTGACTATGCCTGGACCTGTAACCTGAAGAAGCTTATCAAACCACTCCTTATTATAGAACCCTCCTGGTGCTACAAGTAAAGGTTTGAAATTGGAGTTATTGTATAATGAGTGTAAAATTTCTTTAAGCTTTATCAAGTCTTTCCCATACTGTCCAGCACCAACACTTGCCCCAATGCCCTTCCCACTCAACTCATTACCTATGTCAGCACAGGCAAGAATCAGTTCCAATGAAACAAAATTGAACATAACAAATAGCTTGGTCTTCTGTCCTACCAAATTCCCATGAATCAATCTTGTACCCCTTTGAAACAGTGTAATTGATTAAATCATAAGCATTGGAAGAGTCCCAGTCTCCTCCCCAAACAGTATGACTAATCTGGTGCCTCCCATGCAGTGCATTCAAACCAAATGTCACAATGGCCCTGCAAGTGTCAAATTCAAGCTATGTTACACCACGAATAGTCAACTCTTCCTCCCTTTTCTTATTTCCTTCCAGCATAAATATGATTAGGCTAGCACACACTACAGAGATGGTATGTTAAATCACTTAAACACATACTGAAGGAAAAAGAATGACTCAAAATGCATGTGAACAAAACTCAGATTCTTGGGTACAAAATGATTGAGAATTTTTACTGTACCAGTTACTGAGGTGTAACTCCAATTTTAATTGCAGAACATCAAAAACACTTGTAGCACTACACTTTAGTTTTGTCTTTAAAAAAATCAATAGCAATCTACTGTTTTTAGCAAATAAATCTTATGACTCTGTTACAGTCTTACAGTACCCTACAGAAGAGCTTTCCCATTTTTGCTTTAGCCGGAAGGAAAAGGAGAGGGACATGGTGAATAAAACAACAATCTCAATACTAAATTCTCACCCTGTATCATGGAAAAAATGGTTCAGCTCATCCCACCTTTTCATTTGCAAACATCCCTTTGAAAATCCAAACAATGCACCTTTCATCTTTTCAAATGGATGACAAGGGGACTTCAAACTTCCTACCTCATACAGCACTTGATCTTGCAAAGAACCTCCAACTCTTATCCTCAAAGGCTTGAGAGCTATCAAGGAACCATTATGGAAAGAATGACATCACACTTGAAATAAATATTCCCGACATGATACCATCAATAAAAATATATTTGCATTAGAAAACCACAAAACAGTGGAATTCCATCAGAGTGGCTGATTTTCTACGATATTCACATACCTTGGATTGCCTTCGCAAGGAAAGGATGAGACAGGTCCTGAAAAAAACAATCCACGTTGACCAATGACTAAAACTGCTTCAAAGCTTTCTAGACTTCTAAATGAGAGGTAGGAAATGGAAAGAATACGTATATTCTCTGCTTAAGTCATTCTGTATACAGGTAAGTCCAAAACACTCACCAAATTTACAGCAGATGAATCACCCCATGGGCAATAGTTGTAATCACACTTGTCATGAGGCCACCAATCAATAGTTGCACAGATAAAGTTATCATCAGTCTCAGCAATTGCTTGCATTCCATCTACTTGAATCAAACCACGTTCAACATCTTGAGATAAAGCCAATCGCAGAGATGCCAGAAAGAGAAAGAAGGCGAGGTGGATTCCCATTAATGGATCAATTACGACAAAATCCAAATTAACTGCAGTAAAATAATGAAACAAAATAGTTAGGTTGTGTTTGGTTTTTTCACAATTTCATTTCCAGATAATTTGTTTCCACAAATAATCATAAAACGGCACCTTGCTTCCATTTCATGATTTTGTGAAGGAAATGGTACAATAAGCAACATTTTTTTATTTTATTTTTTGTAATTATGAAGAATTATAAGCAGAAAACGGAAAAAAAAAATGAACAAATCAAACACTATAATTTAGAGACAGATCATTTGAAGATGCATAATTGCTATTTTCTGTATCTAACAGCTGTTTCTAGATAAGCTTTTAAATGAAGTAATGCTGCTAATGATTAGCCCGTGGTTAAAACTCAAAACCACGAGATTAAACAAACAAATAATAAAAGGAAAACGAATTTTTTATTGTCCAATCTTCCATGAAAATAGAACCAGGAATATTGAATTCAAACACCAGTCAAGAACCAGTAATTTATTTTCTTTGACTAGTTCTACATTACCAATTTTTTAAACAAGGTATCTGGCGTTCAACAAACGCCAACCACAATGAACTCTTCATATATACATATTCTATTCTATGTACTACACGGAAGTCGTTAATCACAATGACAGATCTAAGAACTCGTAAGCATTAGCCTATAGATCTAAACACAACACCACACCATTACCAACAAGGAAAACTGGTATTCTCACAATACATGACGAACCCAGAAGGAAAGAATCAAACTTGAAGTTCACCCAGATAGAGAAACAGCGAAAAGCTATAAAACATAAACACAACACCAACCTGAACCTTCTTTTGAACTTTTGATCCAGCACAGCCTTTAAATGAGGCTCAAGCGTGAGCAATGATGTGTCAAAAAGACGACAACAAAAACAATAATGTGTCACGTAACTGCCGAAGAAGGAGCACTTTCCTTGCCTCGTACTGCCCCAGAGGAAAGCAAAGGATTAAGATAACGAAGCAGCCACGAAGAAGGACAAGATTGTCGTGATGTAATGTTAGTTTAGTGGTAGTTGGTTGGATAGAACAGGCCTGTCTGAGGAGGGTCGTAGCACAACTCACATGCACTGCTTCGATGCTACATTAATATTATTTTTAGCTGAAGGGGTTTTCTCATGAGGTAATTGCTGCCTCCAAACATAGGTGTCGCTGTGGTAGAGTGGTTGAAGGTATGCATCGTTTTAGGAAAACAAACCAACTCAGGTAACGGGTGCAAGCAAAGCAAAGGTCAATTCTTTCCCTCTTGCTTAGTTGGACTAGGAAAAAATCTACGGTTGTCTTTCTGATCAAACCAAATTTGTCATTTGCTGAGGTTGCAGAAAAAATCTACGGTTGTCTTTCTGATCAAACCAAATTTGTAATTTGCTGAGGTTGCAAGTCGTCTCTGTCTTGTCTTACCTTTGTGGAGAAGCTATACCTTCTTCCACAAAACTATCTTCCACCACATCAATGTAACAAACATCACGTGGGAACCCTTTTTAATTGAAACACCAATTCTTTATTTTTTATTTTCATTAAAAGAAATTATGAGACATAATTTAAAACTGATGTTTTTCTTTTAAAAAATACACTTTATTCGTTTTAGTTTGATTTGTCCAGCCCAAATATATCAATTTTTTAGAATAATTTCATAATTAATTTTATTTATACTCTTAAGTTTATAAATCATTAGGAAAATGAATCTAGACTTGGTCAAACAAATATGTGGCTGAGTTGAATTTTCGTGCAATTATAGGAGTTTATATATGCCTCCCTAAAATAATATGTATCTAGTAATATTAAAGGTTTTGGTCAACTGAATGCCGAAATCAAAATTGTACTAACTTTGACTTTCATATTATAATTACATCACGAATCATAGTGTCTTAGTTTTTATGTATACTGTCATTTCAGTTTTCCTTTTAATTGGGTTACGTTAAATCAAATTTACTCTTGATGTAAATATTTTTTTATATATTTTTAAATAATTTTATTAAAAATATACTATATTATTTAATAAATGAATAATTTCGAATTTAATATTTCAAAAATTATATATTTAATTAATAAAATAATTTAATAAATTAAGTAATAATTATATTATTTTTATTAATATAAATATTATTTAGTAATTTTAATTTAATTTATTTATATTAGGTGTCATATTCAACATATAAATTCCATCCCTTAATCCATAGAAAATTAGATTACTAGATTTGAGTCAATCACAACAAAAATTAATTCAATTAATTTATATTAAATTAGGTTAAATTAATTCGTCAGTTACCTAATAAAATATCAATATTTAATATTATAATATTTTAGGTTATACTTATTCGTGACTTATTTTAATTTTTAATTGAAATAATATAGTCAAATACAAAAACATATTTTTTATCCTTTTAAGTAATGTTAAATGGTGATTTAAAAAAAAAATCTTTTAACACGTTAAAAATAAATCATTTAAAAAAACTTTCTATTTTCTTGTACTATTTTTTAAATTTCAGAAAAAGGAAAGTTATTTAAATGTTAATAAGATACATCAAACCATTTACGCAACAATGTCAATAAGCAGAGAAAATATTCATAGTATGTATATTTTTAAGTCTCAGTGAAGCATTTGTAAATTTTAAACCTCCAACATCTTTTTATTATTCATTTTCAGTACTTATTGTAATTATAGTTACTAAAAAAGAGAAAATATTGATTAATAAAATTAAAGTGATAACTAATATTTTTAATTAACATAATTATATTTTTTTTAAGTACGTAGTTAATTAAGTAATGTATTTCTTATTGAATATAAATAAGACAATTATATATACTATTTTTATTTTTTCAATCAAAAATTTATTTTTAATATTACATCTTAATTATAATTTTGAATAATGGTAAAATAATTTATTTTCTAATATATTATAGACAAAAAATAATAAAATAAGTTATATATTTTAATTTTATTTATTTATAACATATTAAATTTCATATAATATAAAAAATGATTATTATACTTTTCTTCTTTCACCATTTAAAATTATAAATCGATTTATTCATAATGTATAAATATATTTTTTCACTGAATATTATTAAATGATAAATATATAATTACAAATAAAAAATTATATATAGTAATAATATTTATTTTAATAATCTTTTATATAATTATTATATTTAGAAAATAATATAGAAGTTATTTATAAAAAGATATTTATAAAAAAAAATATTTATATAAATTTTAAATTACGTAAAGATAGAAAAAAAATAATGTTTTATGATTAATATGTTGGAAAATATTATGGACAAAATCTCTCTGTTGATAATTTGTTAGTAATTAAAATTAATCAATAATAAAATTTATTAATTATTAATCTGTTGTTAATTTATTTTTCTTCTTAGGTTTAAAAATTGTCACTCTTAATCTTAAATTTAAGTATAGAAAAATTAAATAATATATTTTCATAAGTTGAAAAAATTAATTAACGAATTTTTAAATATAAAAAGGTTTGACAAAAATAATAATATAAAAAACATCATAATTTACTTTAATACAATATTTGTTCTCTAATTCTATGTAATACAGTAATAAACTATAAATGAAAGGCTTGTTAAGAGGCAGTATGTTCTCAAATAGGCTGGTTCCACCTATATAAATATTTTTATTGACTAATATTTTAATTAAAAAATATTATACTCACATATTAAAATATTTAATTATAATTATTAATTTATGTTTAATTAATATATATTTATAAATTATAATACTATATATTTATATATTTTAATAATATAATATAAAAAATAAAATATTATGATATAGTCCATCCTATTTATCCAGCCTAGATGACAAATTATATAAAGTAATTAAATTTAAATAGAAAACATAAATAGGTGTAATTAAACATACATTAAATGAGATTAATTATTAATTTATTTCCGGTTGGGGAAGCATTGCCACCTGTTAACGTGCACACATTAACCTAAGATAAGCGTTTTGGTGTGGTCCTATTAAGCCCATGAAAAAATAAAATTCAATGAATTTGTCCACTTTCATAACTTTCTTCTATAATCTAAATTTGCGTGATTAACTCTAACTAGGTAAAATAATTGATATAAAATATTACTTTACAGTCAAGTATTAGTGTTTTAGTCAAAGTATATGTCTGTTCCGTGTATATGTATAAAACAAATATCGAAACAAAAACAAGTGTTTTGTTTAAGTCAGTAAAGTTTTATAATTTTAACTTTGATAATGTTTTTTCTTTGAAGTTTTATAAATTTAATAAAAATAATCAATTTTAAGACTTAGTTCATTGTCATAAAGATTAATATCACTAATACTCGAATTTACATGTTTGATTGATGATTATAATATTATCTAAATATTATGAATTTGATATTGATCTAATATTTGTTTAATTTTTTTTTTTTTATCTATGACATAGCTTTTGGTAGTTCCTTTCATTAACTTTTATGTAACAAAATTTGATCAACCATCTTTACTCCTTATCCATTTTTTATTTTATTGGTAACCATATATGTTTAATGTTTAAATACAAATGAGATATAATATTCACTTCTTAATATTAAAATGTATAATTATTATAATAAATTTAATTTGTATAGGAGAATATGTGTGATTTAACTTAAATCAAGATTGTTGATAAAAATCAACAACTAAGATGAGATTTTTCACACGTTAATCCTTTGAATGATAGGTAAGATTTGTTATTTAAAATAGAGTTTATACATGATAATATAGTCACAAATTAAAACCTATATTATCTCATTTCAAACTTCTATAAATATGAATGTTGTTGGGATAATGATATTATGGTTTATAATATATTATTATTATTATTATTATTATTATTATTATTTATCAAATGTATAAAAAAATAATTATTATAATTTATATATTTTAAAAAATAAATTAAGAGAAGAGAAAAAAATAGCATACATTTAATAAATAAAGAAACAAGTGATATCTTATCAAT